CCCCAAAACCCCAAAACCCCAAAACCCCAAAACCCCAGATGGTTCTAATACTATTGAAAAATTAACTAAATTAAAGCTCAAATGGGATCTTCCGGTCTGTCGGGAGAATAAATCAATCATCGAGATTCTCTAGTCAAGTGTATTCATTTTCATTGTAAGCATTTTCTAAATGTTATGATAGAGAGTACCTATAAAATCTAGAAATAAAAGTTCGTCAGCCTTAAGTCTTTCATATGGGTTCACCTGAATAGTATGCTGTAAGAATTGTCTTGCTTCATAAGAGCAATGGATTTCATACTCTCTCTTATCTTTCCATAGTTGTCAAAGCTTTTGCTTATCTCCTCCCATATCACTGTAGGTAAAGAGTTTCTTTCCTGTGAGCATTTCAAAAGCTATTAAACCTAAGGAGAGAATATCTGCGGAGTGATCATAAGTAGAATCGAAACACTCAGGAGCGAGGTAGAACATTGTTCCAACTTTATTTTCCATATTGGAATCACAATTTCAGCTGATTCCTAGATCTGTAATTATGATGCTAAAAATATCATGAACTTCTGGATCCCAATCTTGTAAGAATTCTCTCTTAACTAGTTTGCTCGGATCAAGTCAATCGAAATGGATGAGAATGTTATCAGGTTTAATATCTCTATGGATAATGTTTCTTTGATGAAGCTCGGTTAGTCCCTTTAAAATCTGCTTTATTATTTTAGCACAAAGCTTTTCCGGCATTTTACCTTTCATTTCCATCAAAGTTTTTAGATCTCTTCCATTATGGAATGCAAAGAAGAGATATATAGCATCTTTAGTGTCTATTGCACAATAGAGATGAATCAAACTATTTTGTTCTACCAGTTTGTGTAAATTTAACTTCCGCATTTTTAACAATATTCCTAGTATAATCGTCTCCCTTATGCTCGATTTTATTTACATGCCATTGTGCTAGGTAAGAGCTTTTTAATATTAGATTCAATCACATGTGCGAAATAGACTGTTCCGAATGCTCCAGATGCTATATTTTCGCCAATATAGAACTTTATATATTCAAATCAGTCGTCCTCTTGCCCTTCTTTGACTCGATGCTTATATTCAAGGCAGAACCCTACAATAGTTTCGCATTTTAAGAAGAATGCTTACCTTCATCACTATCGGAGTCAGTGTAAAATTCATCACTTAAGGTTTCCATTTTCTTGAAAAATCTAAATTTTTAAAGTTATACAAATCTTAGAGTTCCACGGGGTTTTGGGGTTTTGGGGTTTTGGGGTTTTGGGG